GTGGTGGTATCACACCAAGTCATAAATTACTAACCGGGAAAATTATTACCTTTGCCCGTGGGGGCCTCCCACTTTGAAAAACGTTCCGCCGGCCCTGCATAAGTTAAACAATACGTCAAGCACCACTATTGCACGTATTGTGAGCGGAACAATGAGCCTTTTTGGAGCACCGACAGAAATCGTTTCGGACAACGGTCCACAGTACAGCGGCCAACCCTTCAAAGAAATGTGCAGAAACTGGGGAGTGAAACACACCACCTCTTCTCCAAGATATCCCCGCTCAAACGGACTGCCAGAGGGCAGAGTTAAAATATTGAAATCCTTGATCATGAAATGCACGCAGTCTAGGCAAAGCATACAAGTTGCCTTATTACATCTCTGGGCAACCCCGATAGGACCCAGCCTACCATCACCTGCAGAAATGATGTTTGGTCGACCGGTGAGAACAACGCTTCCAAATAATCACTTGGCATGAATCCACCAAAGGACAGATGTGCGTGATAAGCTTATATCAAGACAGCAGGAAATGAAACAATACCATGACAAGCATGCTGGAGCTAAACTAAAACCACTTCACACAGGTCAGAAGGTGCCAAGAGTCAGACGCCCTGATGACAACATTTGGATCCCTGCAGAATTAACAGCAAAGAACCAAGATCATACGTGGCTAATACAAACAATGGATCAACGTGGAGGAGGAATAGATCCGAAATCAGAGACGTACCAGAATCTGATATCACAACCAACACCAGGAATACACCACCAGTAACCGACAACCCAACTGACACAAGAGACATACCACCAGAACCAAACAATACAGCAACACAATATGAAGACGATGATACGATACCAGTACGCCGACACGTACACTTTGCTGAAAATCCAACACAGCTTAAACCACCTAAACCAACAAAGAATAACCACAACAGTCCAGCCTATCCCAACACGAGAAGCATAAGATCGATGTATAACACAATTACCAGATCCGGTCGAATAAGCCGCCGACCAACACGCTTCGGAGACGAATAACAAATCAATGAACAAAATAATCACAACAGAGAACAGTCAATCCAACGACAGATAATTCATATAACCATTAAAAATAATATACTGAAACTTGTCATTATATGTTTAATCAAAATAGATAGAAAATAATATACACATTGTCATTAAGTAGTAATTGAATATCCGGAATGTGCAACAATCGCATTCAAGTTTTATGATGTTTAACAACGTTTTTTTTTTTTTTTATATTAATGAATGATTTTATTGTTTATGAAGTTAACGTTTAAGAAGTGCAAAATAATTCATTACTTTAAAAATCACAATATGATACAATGTTTTTACGAATGTGATAACATTAGTGATTATGAAGTTAAAAGTGTTTCATTATCTTACTATTATCACAATATGAACTATGAATAGGCATCAGTTAAACAACGTTTAAAGCATGAATTAACACATTCTGTTTAAAGTTTAAAGCTTGTTGTATTGCTACATAAGCGATAACGAATTAACTGTAAAGCTTTTCGAAAGGAGGGGGATGTTGTGA